TGCCCTGCTGCGCCCTGCACAGGCCTCAGGACGCCAGCACGTTGCCAGTGAGGCCTCTCGTTCATGTTCACGCCGTCCTACGTCTTCCCAGGCCTCTCACAGGCTCATGAGTGGAGGCTCAGAAGGGCAGGGGCATTAGAGGTAGGAGAGCCAGGCTAGGGCCCCCACACCCCAGTGTGACGCTGAACCGAGAGTAGGCGGCACACCCCAAACCTCCATTGTGGTGCCGGGAGCAGCCCCTGCCCTGTGCTCTCTCCCTGAGTAAGCAGGATGCGGAGTCCCAGTCCTGCAGAGGCCGACACACCAAGCAGCATGGCTCTCCCACGCCCCCTCCCCCGCCAGCAGCCCACATGCACTGCTAGCCTCTGCGGGCCCAGGGCTCCCCACTCCTCTAACCTCTGTGGGCTCCATGGGCTGGGCCGTCCTTGGCCAGCCTGGCACAGCAGTGGGAGGGCAGGCACTGACACCAGCCCTGTGGCTTCCAGATCTCCATTGGCCCGGGCTCCAAGATGGCATCAAGAAGCAGCAGCCGTTTCGTTTCAGCGGCATGTCAGGGACCCCTGCTCAGTGCTCACTTCTCCCCCAGGACAGGGGACAGAGCACCTCAGTAGTATTTGGTGAACTGCAGAGGGGGTGTGTGTCAAGCTTCCAGAAGCCCACACACATTTCCAGTGATAATCCCTTCCTTAGCTGCCTGCCTGTGAGGAGCAGGGGTACAGGGATATGGAGGGCTGTCACAAGCCTGTGAGGCACCCCTCCAGCTCTGGGAGCCCGAGCCCACACCTGTGATTTGGAAGCTCCACACAGAAGAGCCTGTGGTTTAGGGATTCCATGATTCAGTGTCCCGAGCATGACGTTGAGTGGGGAAAGAGAGGTGTGGAAAACGACACGCAGTGTGACTCCATTTATGTGAAGTTTAAAACATGTGCAGGTGTTCGAGTTGTGTGAGAGTGTTTATCTACGTAGGATACTGCATGGGAAAGATTTGCGATGGGAGCGACTTCCCTGTGGGTATGTGAGGAGGGAAAGGCTGGTGAGGGGCTGGAACAGAGGCAGTGATGGGGCTTCCATCAGAGTCATTATGTTGTAATTCTTGTCATGGGTGGGTGGTATTCATCTTTGTGCCTTTTGGTGTATTTAAATTTTTTTTAATTCCATAACTTAACATGATACCATTTTTTTAGGTTCCACGTAATACTTTACATTTTCTATAGGCATATATCTATAGCTAAATGCACAGGAACAGTTCTGGAAGGATGTGTGCCAAACAGATGACAGCCAGTTACCTCTGCAGAGATGGGAGAGGGGAGTCAGATTTAGGGGAGTGATCAAGGGGATTTTATTTTGTTTAAGGAGAAGAGGTTTTCTTGTTATTTATGAAATTAAAATTTCATTTCTTTAAAACATAAAGCTTAAGCAAAAAGGAAAAAAACTTCCAGAACTTGAAGGATTTGTGATGCTGAGATTTGAAGAGTCAGAATGTTGATGGTTCTGCATGTCCACAAATAGCACAGTTGGTGAGTGAAGGGCAGGATGGGGGAAGATGCTCCGTCTCTGGGACTCCGCGGCCACCAGCCCAGAAGGCCCCGTGACCTGGGGATCTGCTGAGTGCGCGCTCCGGCCCCTCTACCCTCCCTCCACCCAGTTGCCATTGTGCTCCTTTCTCGTTGGAGACAGATGGGGCACGTCAGCCGCAGGTTGCAGGAGCGAGACGCTCTCTGCGTGCATGTGCCTGTGAGCCTGCAGACTGGAATTTTCCAGTTGAGGAGGGAAGTCCCGGATATGAGATGTTTCCCTACCCCCCTTGACAGCAGCTTTCTCCTTCCAGGCCAAGCTGCTTCCAGGGGCCCACAGTGACAGTGTGGGGCAGGGCGAACATAGGCGTTTCCAGAGCAACCTGGAGAGTGGGTGACTGCTGGGGTGAAGGGGCTGTTCCAACACCGATTGCCGCTGTGCCCCAGTCCAGGCCTGCAGAAGTGGGTGGATGGGAAAGCCTGCAATTACAACCCCGAAAGGCTGGCTGCCACCCCTCTTCCCACCTCCAGCACCTGATTACAGTTGGGACAGTCTCGCCACTCCGTCCAGAGTCCTCAGCACCACTTCCTGACCATGCGCCCTTGGACCCTCTCAGGACCGCAGGCTTCACATTTGGACCCTCGGGTGAGGGCGTGAGGGCCTGTGTGATGTGGGTGGAGCCCATGCACACACCGGGCATGCCCTTGCTGAGCGACCTCAGCTGCTTCCTGAAAGGAAAAGCCTGGGGGTTCTCGAATCAGAGGCCAGAGTTGGAATCTCAGCTCCACGGTTTCTGGAGACTCCCTTGCGCCTGACCCGTGCTGGATACCCACTGTGAGAAATCAGAACAGCCAGGCGTGCTGCAGACACCACCCAGGGGCCTTGTGAGCACCCGCGCTCTTGGCGCTGGTTTCTGAATGCCGGGGTCTGTGCCGTTGGCCCTATTTTGAAATAACAGCGTAACATGTGAGAAACCTACATGTGAGTTTATAAGGAGGAAGTGCAGAAAAGCAATGGCTGTGCAGATGGGTGTCATGGCCCCCAGGGGGCTCCACGGACCAAGAGAGGAGACCCAGGAAGGGGACGCCAGAGCCGGCTCTGCAGTCAGGGCCCCCCACTTCACCACTCTGGGCCTCGGTTTCCTCCTCTGGAAAATGGACGTGATAAAATAATCCCCGCTTTGAGGAGGTCCTGAGGGGAGTTGCTAGGGCCCAGGCTTGGGAGTCACAGAGATGTGAGTTCAAGCCTTGGCTCCACTGCTGCATAGAGGTGAGACCTCTCTGAGTGGGGGTGGTAATTAACCTACTTTGTAGGGTGCCTCTGAAGATTCACTAAACATCGGGCTTGAAACAAAACCAGCCCCGTGAAGCCCTTGTGGTTGTAGTTGTTATTTTCTCATCGTTATTAAAATCTTGTGTAAGTCAAGTGAGGAGAGAGATGGAGCAGGCTCTGCACCACATTAAGCCCACTTACACGACAGCGTTCTCTGGGAGGGAAGTCCATACTGTAGGAAGATTGGTCATTGAAAGATTCTCTTTAGGAGGGTGAAGCAGGAAGCATTCTGCAGTTCTGATGCCCTTCACCTCTGTCACCCAGCTGCCTCAGCTCTACCCCTGCCCCATAGGAGGACATATACAGCCAGAAGAACTGAGTTCCAGTCCTGCCTCTGCCACGCACTGCTGTGCACTTTCAGACAAGTCACTTGCTCTCTCTGAGCTCTGTTTCCTGCACTGTAAAGGAAGGAACAAAACTCAAGGATGCAGCATGCTTTCTTCCTCTAAATTCAGTGGGCCTGAGATTCCAGAGAGTGAGAAAAAGAAGGGAATGGCCCTCTGAGCTGCCAACCAGGGGCCAGGGTCTTCATACCCACTCTCTCATGGGGAACCTTTGCAAGTGCTTAAGAGCCAAGACTCTGGATCCAGACTGCCCTGGCTTACCACCCACCAGCTGTGTGACGCTGGGCCAGATGCTGAACCTCTGGCTTTAGTTTCCTCCTTTGTAAAATAGGGTGATAGTATTATATTTCATTGGGGTTGTCCTGAGGATTATAATGCGTGTAAAAATTATACATAGATGAAATAGGTTTGGAATTCCTGATTTACAGATGAGGAAACAGACTGATCAGTTAAGCATCAGACAAGCAGAGAGAGATCTGTGTATGACAGAAAAGTGAATCTGGGAGAAGAGGCTGCACAGCCACCCTGTCACCTTCACCTCCCTGTGGCTCACTCACTCCAGCCACACTGGCCTCCTCAATGCTACTCAAATATACTCAGCTTATTTCCGCCTCAGGACCTTGGCACAGGTCTTCCCTCTGCCTGGAATGCTCCTCCTCTATATCTTCCATTATTCAGGTCTCAGCCCACAGGTACCCTCTTAGAGAAGCTTTTCCTTACCACTCCATCTGATGCAGATGGCTTCTCTCCCTCTCCCCTTCCCGTCCTTTCCCCCTTCTGCTTTATTTTTATCCGAATCCTTATTGCTATGCAAAATTATATATATGACCACATGTCGATTTCCTATTTCTCCCTTAGAATGTAAACACTATGAGAGGAGATACTTTGCCTTATTCACCACTGTGTTGCCAGTCCAAAAGCAGTGCCTGGCGTGTGGAAGGTGCTCCTGGGTGTTTGTTGAGTGAATGGGTGAGAGAGTGAATGAATGAATGAATGGGTAGCACAGGTAGACCAGAAGTTCTCCCTAGGCCCAGGACATGGCCAGCACAAATGGTAACAGCTATGCATCTGTGCAGCTTCTGTGTGTGGTGGGCCCTCCTGGAACCTGTGACGTGGCTGTTATGATCCCATTTTACAGGAGCACGAGTCAAGGCTCCCAGAAGAGAAGTGGCTTGCCCAAGGTCGCATGGCCCTTAGGAGGCAGAGCCAGTGTTGGAATTGGTGGGCCTGACTCCAGAGCGCCAGCCCCGTGCACTCCGTGGCTCGCATGTCAACATTCCAAAGACGGAGAGAAGCCACCCTGGAAAGCAGCGTCATCGCAGGCTCCAGGGCAGTGCGTGCATTTTAGCAACAGATTTCCAGGTTTCGAGCCCTGGCCAGGAACCGCCCCAGGCCGACGCTCTCCGCCTGGTGGGTGACTTTGCAGCAGGGGCGGCCGCGCCTGATGCTGCAGTTGCCATGGCGACGAGGGCCTCGGCGATTGGTCCAGCGCGGCCGCACTACGTTGCTCCTTGGGCGTTGGGGCGTTGGGGCGGGGGGGAGGCTCCCGCGCCTGCCCCTCCTCCAGCAAACCGGGCGCAGACTGCCCCCAGCCGTCCCCTCTTTCTCCCCGCGCCCCGCCACCCCGGATGTGCGGGAGGAGAAAAGCCCGAGGTGGTCCCAGGTAGCAGCGAGGCCGATGCCCCTGCCCTGCCCAGCGACCATGGTGACTCCACGTCCTCGCAGGCTCCTGGGCACAGTGTGAGACCTGCGCGCCAGGGGCCCTCGGAGCGCGCTGCTGCCGTCCCCCTGCTCCTGCCCCAGCCTCCGTGGAGCAGCCCTGCACCCCCCAGAATGTGACTCGCCGCTTGATTTAATGTTATTCCCTTCCACTTCTCGCCTGAGCATCCTGCGCCGCCTCTAACCTCGCTGAGCCTTCCCAGCTGGAGAGGGAGAGAGAGAGACGGGAAAAACTGCCCCCAGAGAGGATGGCTTGCAGAAGACGCTATTTGTGAGTATATGTGGCAGGTTTATGCCTGAAACTCGAGGCCGGAGGCCAGAGGGGCCCCAGCTGAGCTTGGGGCTGGAGTGGGGGCTCGGTGGGGGAGGGGCAGGTTGCTGTGCAGGTGGCTTGCAGAGGGAGCTGGCCACTCGGCAGAGATGCCAGCATTTGTCCCCTACAGCAGAGGTGTTTGTTGGTGGTGACAATGAGAAAAAGGCTGTTAGCAGGTCTCCATTGGGCTGTGAAATGCCCTATCTCTGAGGGCAGGACCCCCCTAAATCCATATATAGGGTCCCCAGGCCTACTGCTACCATTTTGGCATTTGGTGTAGCCCTCAGCGTGTCTACCTGGAAGAAGCTTCTCATGCCCAGCTCATCTGTGACCGGCACTTCAGCCATGCCTGATGGAGGGTTGGCAGGAAGGTTGGGGTGGGGACAGGATGCTGTCCCCTCCATGGACAGGTGAAGGGCCAGCCCACCATCGTGAGCAGGGGATGTCAGGTCCCCCTGTGCCATCCAGGTGTTCTCTGGGCCAGCAGCAGAGCGCCTGTCTGCTGGGCCTAATGCCAGCGGCAGAAGCTGTTCAAGTCTGCACGGGCCGGTGACATCATGGGTCCGGGTATTCATGGAAACTGAAGCCCGTGCCTTGGTAAGGCATGCTTCCCTGGGTCATCGGATTAGAATGCCAGCTTCCTTCGCAGCTCTCTGGGGCTCTGCAGTGTGCTGTTCTGGGGTGAGCTACCTTAGGTCTCTGGCCTCGTGGGACCCCTCCTCTGGGTCCTGAGGCCATAGTGGTTGAGACGCAGCTCCACGTCTCCACTTGCCTTGGGCACCTTGCCCAGTGCCTGGGCCATCTGGGGTTATTCACTGACCTCAGACTTTGTAGATTAGAGAGCATTGCTGGACCCTCTTGGGCCGGGCTCAGTCCCAAGGACTAGAAGGGGGAGGCCTGGAGCATTATGTAGGGAACATCTAGGGTGCCACTCCAGGGCCTCACGACCCTCCGTACCGTGACAAGGGCCTGTGGAGCCCCTAGTTCAGCAGCACCCACTCCCCTCCCTCGAGGGACAGCTCTCTTGCTAATGGAGCCTGAAGGAAAGTAAGCATACCTCTGGCCACCGCGTCAGCGGCCCAGACAGGAGCCCTGCGGGTGGTGGAGGTGGCCTGTGTCTGTGGTTTGCTGTGACATCCATTTGCTTTTTTAGTGGAAAAGCCCACAGGTTGGTTTATTGATGTGAGCAGAACACGCCAGGTTCTCACTCCCTGTGACAAGGCCCCAGCTATATTTTTGGAAACAAATAGTAAATCCTTTCCCGGCATGAACTTCCACCACCGTCGCTGGAATAGGTCCTCCTGAGCTAGCTGCCTACTTCCTGCCATGCCTTTGCCTGGGCCCAGGAGCCCGATGTCAGAGCAATTCTCCATTCTCAGGGCTGTCACACACCAGGGGAGGGGAGATGTCATGAGGGTGAACTGTGACCATCTGCCTTATGCACTCAGCCCGGCGCCCTGCCTCGGGCGCTCAGTGATGGAATCCCTACAGCAGCCTTGGCTGCGCGGGCACTAAGGCTCTCAGTTTAGAGATGGGGAAACCAAGGCTCAGCATAGTTCCCCTGGAAACTTGGGGTGTACTAGCCTGGGGGTGGGGGGGGTAGCCCAGGCTCCACACTAACATCACTTGAGGAGAGCTGTCTAGAACACCCGTGCCTGGGTCCCCCCACCACGAGGGATTCTGGTCTGTGGGTCTGGGGGAGGGCTCCAGCGCCAGAGTCTGTTTAGTTCTCTCCGGGACTTGAACGTATGGCTGTGGTCGATGTTCATGGTGCAGCTACTCCCCAGGGCAGTGCCACCCACGCTTTTCGGATCAGGATGTTGCCAGGGACACAGTTACCTACCATAGACTCCAGTACCCCCCCCAATACCAGTACAGACTTGTCCGGGCTGCCAGAGGCCCAGGAATCGGCATTTTAACACATGGCCCCTGGCAGCTTTGCTGACCAGTGGACTAAGACCATCTTGACCGCTTGCCTGGGAGAGGGGCTGGGCTGGCGGAGAGGGCTCCCTGCTTCCTACCTCCCATTCCTGTGGGTCTTCTCACGCTTCTCCAGCTTTCAGGCTCGCACGGTCTGGCACTGTGACATCCAGGCCATCCTCCCACGTGCTGCCACCACACCTGTGGACACCAGAGATTGCAAACAGACCTGAGAGGTGGTGGCTGGAGCAGAGCGATTGTCCCTGTTTTTTGATTTGGTTTCTCTTTTTGTTTTTTTTTGAGGAAGATTGGCTCTACACTAACATCTGTTGCCAATCTTCCTCTTTGTCTTTTTTCTCCCCAAAGCCCCACTACATAGTTGTGTATCATAGTTGTAGAGTTGTAGCTCTTCTTTATGGGACACTGCCCCAGCATGGATGATGAGTGATCAGTAGGTCTGCTCCCAGGATCCGAACCGGCGAACCCCGGGCCGCCGAAGCAGAACGCGTGAACTTAACTGCTACGCCAACGGGCCTGCCCAACCCCTGTTTCTATAGAAAGATTTTGAGACCCAGAGCAGGCCCTGCCTGAGGTTACCCAGTGGACCCTCGGTAAGCGTGTGTTGGCTCCCCAATTCACCTTTACCCAGAACCGGGGCTCTCCCAGCACCTGCTGCTCAAACCTCATTGTTACCAGGGCTTCCAGCATGGAGGGATGGGGAGTGGAGTCTCTGCGCGTATTTCCCTTTCGGGGCAGCTGGAAACACAGTGGCATCATCACCAGTGTCAGAGCCTTCCCCCGCCAGCTGCCTTTCTGGTTCTCACAAACTGCAGTAAACTGGGGTGTTATCAATGCTACTTTGCAGAGGAGGAAACCGAGGCTCAGAGAGGATGCGACTTGACGGGGGGCACGTGGCTTTTCCTGATGTACACTTGGCAGTAGTATCCCTTCCTCAGTATGCCACACCCTGGACCAGGACAGCCGTGCTCCAGTGGCCCTGCACATGGCAGGCCTGGGGGTCCCCTGGCCTGGAGGAGCCCTGCCAGGGGGCCTCCCACTCGTTCGCAGCCTCCTTATCCTCCATTTTCTTCCTCTCTGCCCTCTGGGCCCCCAAGAGAGCGTTATAGAATCTAGACTCTGTAGGTGGGGGCGGGGGGCAGGTTGCCCCCTGGGGGCTCAGTCACTTACAGAGATGGCACAGTGAACAGGATAAAGGATGACAACGAAAGCAGAGAAGGTTTATTAATGAAATGGAGGGAAATCATAAGCCTTCCAAGAATCAGTTCCTTAATCAAATTTGCCAACAACCAATGTCATTACTGTACTGGCAGCTTAATTGACGGTGTCTTAATTAAGGCCAGCCCCCTTCCAGCTGTAACTACACTTGACACGGTAGCCAGCGTCTTTCTGGGTGCGTCACGTCTTGATACTTGAACACCGAAGGTTGGGCTGTAGGGAGTTTGCAGGGAGTGTGTGAGACCTGGAGCTGCTCGGCGGAGCTGACGCAGGGAGGTCTCTTGCCTCCCTTGCACACCTGCTCATTCATTCATTCATTCATTCACTCTGCCTGGGACTTCCGTGGCCCCCTCTGCATTCCTCCAGCACTTTGCTATAACCCACAAATCTAGGTTACAGATCCCACCTGACATTCCCTCACCCCTCTCCTGCCCAGCACTGGCTCCATCTGGCCCGCCACTGTGTCCTCACTTGTTAGTTGATCCATCTTCGCCACTAGAATGTCAACTGTAGTAGAGCAAAGGGGTTGACAGTGTGTCAGCTGCCGCTCTCTCTAGCACCTGGAAAAGCGCCAGGCATATAGTAATTGCTCAGTGAGTCTTTGTTGAATGAGTGACTATGGATCCGGTGCCGGGCACCGGCCCTAAGCAGTGGACAGAGCTGGTAAGAAATAGTTTCTGCCTCTAGGAGCCTGCAGGCTGGTGGGGAAGACAGGTGTGAATCAACAATGTCGATACAAAGTGCCCAGGGCTGGAACAGACAGGTGACCCAGGGATGGGAAGGTGACTGCATCCTGCAGCAGGAATATAGGGTGAATGGGGGTTAGCTAAGTGGTCAGGGAGGGAAGGGCACTCCAGGGATGCCAACGGCAGGCCGCAGTTGCAGCGTTTTGTAGGCATTAGCTCATTCGACCTTCACAGTGCCCTGGGAGGTGGGCTGTTATTATCCCCATTGTACAGACAATGCAACTGAGTCACTGACCCCAGGCATCACCCAGTGAGGGGTAGAGCGGGGGCCTGAACCTGGACAGCCTGTCCCCAGTGCCCAGCTCTAGTGCTCTGTTATCCTGAAGGCTTTTGCTGAGGGAAATCGTGTCTAGCCTGAGCCCCAAGTGTGAAGAAGGAAGAGAGAGATGAGACCAGAGGTGTGGGCGGGACCCAGGGCAGGAGTCATCTGGAGTGCTGGGAGGGGGCTCTCCCTGCGGGCAGTGGGCCGTTGGGGGGCCGTGAAGTGTTGGTCAGGAATAGGGGCCATGGTTACATTGCTGGACTGTGGGGGCAGTTGGAGGAGGGAGGCCAGGCAGGCCTCTCAACCTTCCTTTTCCCATGCCCATATCAGGGTACGCGTGTCTCCAAAGAGCAGCGATGTACCCATCCCAGGGCCTCAGACCTCCACACCCCACGTGGGGCAGCCAGGAAAACTGCAGGAGAGGCAGGCTGGGTGAGCAGAAGTGAGGCTTGCTCCCTGCAGCTCTGCTAAGGGCCGTGGCGGGAGCCAGGACGCTCCTGAGAACGCCCCTGGGTTGTGGTCCAACAGGCTAGCTCTGTGCCCTGGGGTGAGGAAGACCCTTTCCCTCCTCACCTCCCGTCTGAGCTCCACACGTAAGTCAGGTCTGGCCTGAGTTGGTGCCTGCTGCCCTGGACAGGCACCCCAGCTTGCTCTTAAGAACATTACCAAAGCCAGGACCGGGGTGGCGCTGGTCCTGGCCACACCCTTTCTGAAAAGCACTTTCCTGCCCTGCCTTGTGCCCTGCTGGCAGCAGGCCTGTGGGGAAGGTCTGTCCTTGTTCCCCAGACCTCTCTCCTCACCAGCCCTGGTCTGTCCACCCTTGAGGGAGGGGTCAGGTGCACAGAAGGTGGACAGATGGAAGGCCAGACGAGGGCCAGGCAGACCTGGGTGACGGGGACCCTAGCGCTTGCCCCTGAGCAGGTTTCAGACCTCTGGCCACACAGTTCTGTCCCCCTCCCCCTCGTGCATGACCTGCCTGGAGCTGGAATGTGGCTGCAGCTCAGCTACTCGTCCTTGGCATTGAGGGTGCCTTGTCTGGCAGCGACCGGGAGCCCAGCACCTGGGCCCATGGACGAGACCCATTTTGTCACCACCAGCAGTGGAGCCTAGGAGGTGTTGTTGCCAG